AGACTTATTGAAACGCTTCCAATATAAACACTGAGTTATAAATATTGATAGCCTAATTCACTTTCAGTACCAACTGATGGTATAGCAATGGGCATTTATATAGCATAGCACCACAAGTTAAACAAATATATATATGCGAGATGTGGTATTAGATGTTCTAGAGGCTATATACCCTGCATAGTGCATGGCCTATATCACACATGTGAGATTTGGTATTAGATGTTCTAAAGGCTGTATACCCTGCATGGTGCATGACATATCTCTACAAATAAATGATCAGAGAGGAAGAGGAACAGGGTTTAACATCCACTTGATATAAACTAGGTCATATTGGGAATAAAGAAAGAGGGAGAGAAATGGGGTTTAACATACACTTGACACAAACTAGGTAATTTTGGGACTAACATGTTTCAATTTTTTTTCAATAATTCACTTATAGTGGTCTTGAGCAGTGGGAGGAAACCGGAGAAAACCACTAGGTTGGACAGACGATCCTACTCCTACTCGAAATCGTGCCACTTGACTCAACGACAGACCTTGCGTGAAATCAGAAGCCCCAACAAGGTTGGTCAGGCGATCCTACTCCTACTCGAAATCATGCCACTTGACTTCATGATAGACCGTGCTTGAAACCACAACACCCCCCCCCCCTCCATTTTGGGAATAGTATATTGTACTAATTCATTTCAATGGGCACGATAACGTTGGATTTTTGTCCTATGTATTACTCCTGCTGAATATACCATAGCATAGTACAGAAATACCATTTATACCACACCTCTGTTAGTTCATCATAGTATTTTACAGGAATACACATCTCTGTAAGTTCATATAGCCTAAAGGTGGATGATATTAGATGTTGAGAGGTTGATATAATGATAACAATTTGTTATTACTATGGTAATGTTAGATTGATAACCACCCAAATTCTTCTTTTTATAATCTATAAATATAAAGGTTAACACAGATAAACTCAATGTTCTGTTTATATTACCTTTATTAAAATAATATATCAGCAACATTAATTTGAATAACATCTTTAAAATTACTAAAGTTTTTAACTCAATATCATCCACAGTTTTCGACATTGTAAACATGATTGATTGGTCAAATTATATCAACATTCATGTTGTGATCTTGCTGGTAAAGGATGGGTTTGTGATATCCAATATTTAAGATAAAATAAAAAAATTTAAAATTGCCACACAAATCTCGTGCCAGAATGTTTTCGAGCACCATTTGTAATGAAGCAACTTGAAGAACGAGGCTAAGCGTACTCCACAGGAGAATACTACCGGTTTAGACTGGAATAACCAGACGCCAAAGACTGCCATTAAATTTGGACCCATCGCATATTTCACCGAAAAAGAAACGATTGAATGTAAATCAGTTTATATACATCCATATTACATTATTATATGCATTGCGACACACTTGTGTCCATTTCTAGGTGCTAAAGAATAGAGATTTAGCTCCTGTAACAGTTTTACATGAATAAGATTTTATGAAATCCAATGTGAGTATGGAGCTACCTCACTAACCACGAGATCCAATGGTGCAGAACAGAGTGCCTGGAAGTTCCTCAGTATTTTCTAACCTGGTTTCCTGTTGCCAGTAGTGCAGGACAGATGGCCTGAAAGGGAAAAGCGTCTCGTCGTTCGGATAGTCTTGTGTATACCATTGGTCAAACATTGTGAAGAAACATAGAAAACTAAACCATATTACTAGTACCAAATATTTTAAACTTTGTGATGGATATCTTATATAGATATCACTAAAATTACTGATACTAGACAAACTTGTGCCAGACTAAATGACAGACATCCGAGAGATTATGTCTGACAACAGTGTGAATGTTTGGTTTATAATCCAGCCTTGTAAGACACCTGAGGTCTTTACAACCATGTTACATAAAAGGTCAAAGATTCTGTCTGATTGAATTCAGGAATATTTCTAATGTAACATACTGACCTGATTTATTTCTCCTGATAAGAAAAAAAGATAATTTGAATGAGTATGTATATAATGAAGTGCATCCATTTAGAAAACCTCTTTAAAAGGTCAGCAGCAATGCCATCTATAATTGCCTGCCACATCCCCAAAAAACTGGGAGCTATATCTTCTGTTTTATTCCCTACTGTATGATTCTGTAATTTATAAGAACCAGTGTCTTACTTGATTCATTGCTACAGCTGCCTTGGCAGATAAATTTTTGAGAACATATTTAATAGAAGTTGGTCTGAAAGGTCATCAGGTAGACAGAATCAATTATATACTCACTTCCACCCTAATGTTATAGTTTCCATGATTAGAAATGTCTGGTCAGTTTATTAATGGATGTTTGGAACTCTTTGTTAATTGGATCGTATTGTATCCTTCATCCTCGGCCATTAAAAGAAAATTAAACGATGGTTAGAATAGCAATAAACTGTCTCGATCTTTAATAATGAATATCCAATAATACCCAATATATTCAAAATGTAGATAAAGAGGTGCCTGTTCTTGCATAATACATGTAGTTTAAAAGTAGGTATTGAAAAATTCCTGTTGAAAATTGTCTAGTACCATTGCTATGATGTAGTATCGATTTTCCCTCCTCTCTCTCTCTCTCTCTCTCTCTCTCTCTCATTGGTTGGGTTGTTTTAGGTTGTTTTGTTTGTTGTTTTTTTTTGCGAAAATGATGAGCTAACTGGCGCCTATTGTTTGAAGAAGATACATGGAATGTGCATATTACACATACCTACATATTACACAATTTAATTACACCGAATCTATGAAAAAAAACCCTACTGAATGTGAGACAAATTGGGAGGTAAAATGTCAATCTAAGTGTCAGTTAAAAATAATCTGTTCAAATATCTCAAATATCTGGGCGTAGCTGATTTCAATTCATTCAATAAGTTTTTCTCTTATTTTAAGTTTTGTAGTTTCCTTTATATATTCTATATATATATATATACTTTACAATTTAAAGTGACAATTTCTCCTCATCTTAAAGCAACAGTCTCACTTAATATATAAATTATATCGGAGTGCGGTTGTACGAGACACGGAGTAGGGTCGCCTGTTCAACCTCATGGGTTTTCTCCGGGTCCTCCGGTTTCCTCCCACTGCTAAAGACCCCTACATGCAAGTGAATTATTGAAATAAAATTGAACCATATGTTATTCCCGAAATGTCCTAATTTGTGTCGAGTGGATGTTAAACCCCATTTCTCTCTCTCACATATCGGAATGCCATAAAACAGAATTCAGTATTTCAGGGGTTTGGGTGAGAGGGGGGTGGGGGTGTTGTTAGGTCTAAATTAAAATATCTTAGATATTCGAGCGTAATATACGACAAATCATTTCAGATTATCAATGTTTAGATTTAAATTAAAATATCTGTCAGCAATTTGATTGGGGGTCTTAAACGTCAGTTTTATATTTCACCTATTAGTATTTTTTAACCCATGTTTTATTTTTAACATTCAATAAATATAAACATAGTGCTGCATGCCAATGTTTCAACTATGATTCATGAACTTGCACCAGAACACTGTAAGAACACCAGGTTTATAATTTGTGTAATAAATAATAGTATGACATAATACATGTTATTTTACAGAGAATGATTGATATCCTATATTATATACATTAATTATCTATTATATATACCAGTTGTCAGTATTGTTTAAAGTGACAATATGTCAAAAAATATCAAATTTCTCATAACTTAATCCAAGCTAATCTGTACTCAGATTGATTATTTAACATTTAATTAAGAAAATCAAATCAAAATATCAATGCTAGATATTGCAGGGGCAGATCCAGGACTTTCAGAAAGGGGGAGGGGCGCTCGTTTCGGATTAAATTACGACGGGGATCACTACCATTTTTATGAATTTTGTTCTCCTTTCCTGCAAATTGTTCGCCACCACAAAAAAATAGGGGGGGGCGTGCGCCAGGGGCTCCCCCCTTTGGATCTGCGTCTGTATCGGATGCAATATGATTAAAGACAGGCCCATAAATCAGGTTTCGTATACTCGTTAAGATGGCAGCAGGCGTGTTCTAATATCATGACGTCATACACAGACTTGTAACTGCCAATCAATCTACCATAGATTTTTAAAAATGTAGACCTTTTTTGTTGACAAATTCTGCCAAAATAAGAAGATACAAAATAGAGAAAGTAAAGTGTACCATTTACACAAGCAGACCAGCATAGGTCGATGAAATTTTCAATACAACATATTTTTGTAAATACTGAATGGAATCTAACCATTTATGGACTGATATTCCTATGAGAGATTCATCTTTTGTTTTACAATATGTAGTGTGTAAGGTGTTCGCTGAAATCCACCCCAGGGACTTTAATTGAAATAGGTATCTAACCTTTATAATTATGTATACCTATCATGATTTAAAGAAAATACATTCTTGTATCTCCACAAGTCAACTAGCCAACTCCATGTCAGATCTTATTTCAAGTACAACAGATAAACTCAGAGCATGTTATATTACAATTATATATGGATAAGAACACAAGTGGATCAGGTTTTTTTTGCATCTCCTACTTCAATCTATTCCTATTCACAAAGAGAAGACAACACGGCTAAGATTTGTTTTGATTTTTTTTTAGGTATTTAATAAAACTTGTCTTTTGTCCAGTAATTGCAGGTGTAATTTAATTTTAAAGTTTACCAATTAGTGTCTGATCGTATTCAGATATACAAACTACTGTTACATATATACATGTATGTACAATTCTACACACATCCATAAAGATATATTGCATCCATACAAATTTACTCACATCTTTACATATCTACTCACATCAGTACAAATTTACTCACATCCACACAAATCTACTCACATCCATACAAATCAAATCACATCTCCAGAAATCTAAGTATATTATCCACATCCTGAAACAATGTAGATGTTTAAATGTAAAATTATCATGTTTTTTGGCATTTGATCAATAATCTAACATAGGAACTATTTTTTGTTTTTCTTCAGATTGCCAGTATACATGTCATCATACATGTGTGCCGTCAGTGACGTTAGATTGTACGCCAGTATCACCAACAGAAGTTCCATCAACACCAGATGGAAATGCTGCGGAGACGTCGTTATCTGATCGTAAACCAGTCATCTCCCCTCGACCTCCGATACCTGCGATATTGGAGGAGAAAGTTTGTAATCACAACAGTCAACATCAAGAAGCCACGCCTTTATTACCTCCTGATACTGATCAAACTAATGTAAGTATTTTGATTTTTGTTGGTGGGTCGGATGGCCGAATGGTTAGCATTGTATCATAAGGTCTGTCATTGAGTCAACCAGCGTAGTTTCGATTCAACGGTTGTACATGACAAAGAGTAGGGTTGCCTGTCCAACCTCATGGGTTTCTCTGGGTCCTCCGGTTTCCTCCCACTGCTAAAGATCCCTACGTGCAAGCGAATTATTGAAATAGAATTAAACCATATGTTAGCCCCGAAATGACCTAGTTTGTTTCGAGTGGACATTAAACACCATTTCTCTTTCTCTCTCTGTATCAGTAAAATGCTGTGGTTTCGATTCACTGCTTGTACGTGATGAGGAGAAGGGTCAGGTTGCCTGTCCAACCTCTGGTTTCCTTCCATCGCTAATGATCCGTAATTGTAAGCGAATTATTAAAATAATTTTGACCCCAGGTCATTGGTGTAGGATCTAGGGACTCAAACAGAAGAGCATATAGTCATTCAGATGGGGTGATAAATCGAGGTCCAGTGTACATGTTGAACCTTTGACAGTTGCAATTTGACCAAGAGTAAGCACAGATGTTCATTAGCCCAGTTGGTGCAGAAAAGTATGATGTTAATATGACCAGGCAGAATTAGAGCATAGTTAATTTGAGATCCCAGCCATTACAGTCTAACCCCGTCTTCATTAGCCCAGCATAGGAGCAGAACAGTAGGACGTTAAACCCCATTTCATTTCACAGTTTAGCCTGAAGCATAATCAAAGTCAAAGTTTCATAAATTATTATCTATTGTCTATGATCTTTGTAATAGCTGATCATAGCTGATCATTATTAACTTACTATAGATAATCCATCATGGATGCCCAGGTATGGTGTATGTCTATCCATTAGTATTGGATGAATGTCTGTATTAAATACTACCTGGCCATAAATGGACGCCTCTCATTTCATTCTTTCATGTAACTCATCATAAAACAAATAAAAAGATATATGTCTGTATTAAATACTACCAGGTGATATTAAAGTAGCTAAGTCTCTAACTCAATATCATCCAATGTCTCTGACATTGAAAACATTAATTATTTGTCAATTTAAATCAACATTCATGTTGTGATCTTACCAGGGAAAAGATGGGCTTCTGATATCCAATATTTAAATCAAAATAAACATTTTACCATTGGTACACGAATCGTGTACCATAATGCGCTTCAGTCCCAGTTGTATCAAGAGACTCGAGGGACGAGGCTAGACACATTGCACCAAATCAAACGGCGTATGTAGACTGGAATAACCAGACGCTAGAAATGTGCACTCGCTTGAGACTGCTGGCTTATTTCGCCGAACATAACTGATTTGAAATTGGAGTAAAAACGGAAACCATTGAATGTAAATCAGTTTATATACATTCATACTACAGTATTATATGTGTTGCGACCAACTCTCGTCAATTTCTAGGTTCCAAATGTTAGCAATTTAGCTCCTTTAAACCTCCATTTCATTATTTCTTGTAACTCATCAAAAAAGAAATAAAAAAATATATTTCTGTGATTGCAATCCTACAAGACTTTCTGTCTTATTTTATTCATCAAGGAGTAAATCAATCTTTAATATATTTTTTAAGAATAACAATTTATACTGCATGGTATTTCACTAAATGTCAGGATATAATTTGATACTATCTTTAAATATCACCAACATGTTGGGGTTAATTCATTAGATTTTATCAATAAATACAAACATTCTTTATACATTTTACCATCATTGTCTTCAAACAGACTTGAATCTAGTACTGGTACTCAATACTTCAACTTGAAACTAGTACTGTGTATAGATTTTCATACTTAATATTACAACTTGAAACCGGTGCTGTGTATAGATTTTCATACTTAATATTTCAGAGAGAGAGATGGGGTTTAACATCCACTCGACACAAACTATGTTATTTCGGGACTAACATATTGTTTAATTTTATTTCAATAATTCGGTTGCACGTAGGGGTCTTTAACAGTAGGAGGAAACCGGAGAAAGCTCATAAGGTTGGAAAGACGACCCTAATCCTTGTCACGTACAACTGACTGGGGAATCGAAACCACGCCAGTTGACTCAATGACAGACCTTATGATACAACGTGCACATGCTATTTCAACTTGAAACTGGCACCATATGGACAGTCCATTCAGTAGTTAAACTATAACACATACTTATAGAAGAACAATTACTCATTTATTTAAGCGAGGTTTCGAAGAGTATTCTCGTAATGTTTTCCAGCAAGTACAGTAACAAATGTGTAGGTTCACAAACGTGGTTTATATTTGTAATAAATTCAATAATTATCCTTTATAGGCATTTAGTAACTGGATAGAGCAATAAACAATAACATATACTTATGGAAAAAACAGCTATTTATTTATTTAGGCGTATTTCGAAGAGTATTCTCTCAATGTTTCTATGTAAAATGTTGTTCTTCCATAAGTATGTGTTATAGTTTATTTCTTATGGACGTATATTGTCATCGCCCCTGTCCGTCTGGGACATCCGTCCACAATTGTTTGTGAACACTCTACAGGTCACAATTTTTATCCGATTTCAATGAAACTTGAAATATAGGTTTATCACCCTAAGATCTCGGTTCCTTTCGATATTGGCCTGTATCGGACTCTAACTTCATGTATTATGGCCCCTGATTATACGAAAAATCACATTTTTAGCTTGTGAACACTTTAGAGGTCACAATTTTTATCCGATTTGGTTTAATCTTGAAATGTATGTTTATAACCCACAGATCTCAGTTCCTTTTGATATTTGTGCATATCAGACCATAGCTTCCTGAATTATGGCCCCTGATTGTGGACCCTATAGAGGTCCCAATTTTTATTTGATTTAAAAAACCGTCTGAATATATCACCGCTACATGCTAAGGGAGGTTGAGTTCGAATTTCGAACCGAAACTGAGGGACAAAACGGCCGCTCCTCGTTCCCAAATAGTGTCAAAATATTGTGTATTAGGGTTGTGGACCCTCTGGCACAATTTGGTCACAATTTTCATCTGATTTTGATGAACCTTGAAATTTATAACCCAAAGATCTCTGTTCCTTTCAATATTTGCGCATATCGGATCGTAACTTCCTGAATTATGGCCTCTAATTGTTAGAAAAATCGCGTTTTTAGCTTGTGGTCCCTCTAGAGGTCACAATTTTTTATTCGATGTAAAAAATGTTCGAATATATCATCGTTACATCCTAATGTTTGTTGAGTTTGAATTTTTTGAAAATCGGGCCAAAACTGCTGGACAAAATGGCCGCCCCTCGTACGTAAATAGTGTCAACATCTGGTAAATCAATGTATTGGACCCTGTAGAGGTCACAATTGTTATCCGATAATCCCAAAAATCACAATCCCTTTTGATATTTGCACATTTCAGGCCATAGCTTTCTGTATTATTGCCCCGGCCCTGATAGTACAAAAAATCGCATTTGTTCTTAGCTTCTTCTCTATCCATCTCTTGGAAAATTTGGGCGTATTCTGCCTGGCAGCCGCTGGTTATTCTATAAGTATGATGTTTCGACAAGTATTATTTTATCGGTATCAGGCAATATATCTGACTGGTTTTAATTGTGTATTTTACAGGAGAATGATGAAACAGACAGTGGTTACAGATCAGGAACGATACCTGACGAGAAGTTGCCCAAACATAAAGGTCAAGCAACGTTAAATCGCGAAGAATTAAGAGCCAAATTATTAGAATACAATAAACATGTTCCTTCAGCAGATTTCGAACCTGTAAGTACACCACGCTACTCTTTCTTTACAAATTGTAATTCAGGTCAGTCTGTTTAAAATACTGATCTATATTTCGCTTCGTTTTTTTATACTTTCGATGGCCTACACTACATGAAGATCTGACCAGTTGTCTTGGTAGGTCGTGCCAGAGGTTGTACGAGCGGCTTTTGACACTTTGACGTCAGACATTGATTAACCAATCAGCATTGATGTTTCTAGTGGATTACCCACAGTTCTGTGCAACGCACGCCAAGAACTCGCTGTAACAGACCGTTTCATTGGCTAATCCCTCACATCATTCAGAATACGTCAATGATAACAACTCTTCCAGATCCTAGTGTAGCAAAGAGAAGTAAAACGTAGTTTTGAACTATAAAAATGAAACGAAATAGGATCTGTGTTTTTAATCAGATTGAATTCAGCTGACATTCTACACAAATTGTATGTCAGATTGGATTCAAACGTTGTACATCAATGGAAGAATTCTGTTCATCTGTTACCAATACTCCCTGACATTCTTTACAAATTACAATTCTGACTGTATTCCGATGTTTTACTCGTCCACATTCTGCCTAAATTGTATTTCATACAGGATTCAAACGTTTTACATCAGTGAAAGATCTCTGTTACGAAAACTCCCCCACATTTTTCATGTGAACTATCTTTGCAGATACCGATGATAACATGCATGCATTCGGATAAATAAAAAGATTTAACGATTACAAATGTTTAAAATTGAGAAATTGAACACTAAAGTTTGATCAACTTTGTAAGAAATTTTAATTATTTATTTGACAAATATTTAAAATTGAAAAATCGGTAAAAATTTTAGGCGTTATTTTATCCCCAAATGATTTTGAAATTCACCTTTGAATTGTTCTTCTGTGAGTGAAGCACGCACATGTCATTATGTTTTAAGTTAGCGAGATATTTTAGTAAAAACTGTGATTTATTTGACAGATTCCAATCTTATTGGTAAATATTTGGCAACATATTTCACTTTCTAAGTACTTGCCAACAAACAAAACAAGTATTCTAGTTTCTTCGAGGACACATGAAAGAACAATTGCATAGTGCGTAACCTGCATTATTCATGCTATATTCTAGTAAATTATGATGATTTCTTGCGAACGATGTCTTCATAACTAAAATTAGAGTCATACAGTAAGATCATGTAATTGGACAAATGCGTAATATATTCTAACTTAAAAAAAAAACAACATGTCTTCATAACTAAAAATGGAGTCATACAGTATGTGATAATAGGATCATGTAATTGGACAAACACGTAACATATTCTAACTTAACACAACACAATTTATATGGAAAACAATCACTGGTTTATCTAGCACGACATTTCCACAAGTATTCTCTTATCGTTATCAAGTACAGATGTATTCTAACTATCTTCATCAATCGAGACCCTCTCCCTCGGCCGATGAGGGTAAAAAAAATATTGCGTCTACCGGTTGACTGGTGTGCATGATGATGTAACCAATCGTGTCATTGCAAAAGGACAACATGTTTGTATCATTTGCTTGACCCACGAGGACAAAAAACCGATTGCTCCAGTTTGTTACTCTGTAGACTTGATTTACAAGTTTGTAACTCTGTAGACTTGATTTACAAGTTTGTAACTCTGTAGACTTGATTTACAAGTTAACTATTCTGTTTGAGTTTTAACAAATAAGTATTCCTGAATTGAGTAGACGACAGTACATCACATTGCGGTAAAGCACAGGTCTCCTAATTGAAATGTCCAAGAACCTTCAGGATTGTTTGACGAGACGTCGCACCACATTCATTTCTGTTCTGTACATCACTAAACTCGCCTTCATTGGTCGAGTAGTAGGGCACTGGTCCCTCAAATAAAATGTCTCGAGTTCGAATCATGGCATGGACTAAAAAGAACCGTCGTGATTGTGTTGATAAGACATTGAATTCCGACCAACCTTGTGGTTTTTCTCCATGTCCGCCGGTTTCCTCCCACTTCTAAAGACCCCTATGCGCATGTGAATTATTGAAATAAAAAATTGAACCACATGTTAGTCCCGAAATGACCTATTTTGTGGCGAGTGGAGCATAAACCTCATCTCTGTGTTTTTATTAGCCCAAGTTGGTGCAGAAGAGTAGGATGTTTAACTCCATTTCTTTCTCTACATCACTTGTCTCACCTTCAAAATATTTGGCAAGAAGAAATAAATGTGTTTTCAACATTCTTGTAGGACAAACGAAATGATAATAGCATTGTTAAAGATTTACACCATCTTGTTTACGTCTTGTTTATGTAAATATATCCATCATTTGTTGGTTTTTGTCCTGATTTCTTGATAAAAATAATTGAGATGTATCTAATAACAGACCTAATTGGACGATACATGTCGTGTTGTTGGCACTATCAATCGTCTTACTCCTTACTAGCTTTAAAAAAAATTGCACATGCACTGGAATATTTTTTGGTATTTTTTAAAGTTTCTGCAGATACGTGTATTTAAGATGAATTATGATTATGTAAGAACTAAATCTGCCTATTGCGGGTCTTTTTTTTGCCTTTGAATGTTGTATAAATTATTAATTAGACATTAATTCATATGACATGCCCATAATAAACTGTCTATGTCATCGGATACTCGAGATTTTAAGTAGAATAAAACAACTGTTTAACAATAAAATAGAAAAACAAGACTTAGTCTTGATTGTTTAATAAAATTGCTAAGATAATAAATAATCTACTTCAAACAGAATAAATTAATTTGATGGAAAGTTTCAATATTCATAATCTATTTTTGAACCATTACAGCGAGAACGGTCAGCTCTTTATCTACAATCTTATATCTTGAAGAAAATTGTATTTTCAAAATTATGATAAAACAAATGGCTGCAGCCATACATTTAATATTTCCTGTCAAAATTATTGTTTTGTCAGAGAGAGAGAGATTTAACCTCCACTTGACACAAACTAGGTCATTTAGGTCAAGAGCAAATTTAGCTCTTGCATAATGTATGTTAAAACATTGTCTTGCAAATTCCAACTCATTTTGCTGTCACCTATGTAATATCACATGGAGATATATCATTTATTCTATATTAAGTTTTATTACATATTTAAATTGAATTTTACTTGTTTCATTTCAGGATGAAGGTACTGAAACATTCCAAGGGTTTCTCAAGGTCACCCTAAATTTCATTCGACCAATCACGATGTCTCTAGGTGTTCGACCTCCGTCTATTTATGAGATGTTAACGAAGGAACATATAGTAGAACAGAACACCCAGTCTATAGCTTTCTATATGCCTAGAGATACGGTAAAATCCATCCACACGTCAAGGTAATAAAATATAGCTCAATAGTTTAAATGAAATTTGGTTTAACGTCCTACTTTTCTGCACTATGCCGTGTACTAGGGGGTAATTTTACCCCGACAGTGGCGTTTTCAGCCTAATTTGATCAAATTTCAATTTTATGTGCACATCATATTTGGCTGTGTTGGGCACCAATCTGATTACAATACACATCTATATTTCATTTCGTTTTTTATACTTTCGATTGCCTCTACTACATGGAGATTCGACCAGTTGTAGTGGGAGGTCGCGTCAGGGAGTCATACGAGTGGCTTTTGACCCTATGACATCAGACATTGATTAATCAATCAGTGTTGATGTTTCTATTGGTTTACCCAAGAACTCGCTGTAACAGACTGTTTCATTGGCTAATCCCTCACATGATCCAGAACGAGGGTTATATATAAACTCTTCCAGATCCTAGTGTAGTAAAGACAAGTAAAACAAACTTTTGAACTATAAAATCTTGTGTTTCAAGGGGAAAGTGCACTGGAAAATCCTGAGGAACTTTCTCGGCTTAACACAGGGATAGAGAGAGAGAGGAGAGAGAGAGAGTTAGTTTAACACCCACTCAACACAAACTAGTTCATTTCGGGACTAACACATGGTTCAATTTTATTTCAATAATTCGCTTGCTCGTAGGAGTCTTTGGTAGTGGGAGCAAACCAGAGGACCCAGAGAAAACTCACAAGGTTGGACAGGCAACCCTACTTCTTGTCACGTACAACTAGGGAATCGAACACCACCCCCCCCCCCCACACACAGGGATGGAACACAAGACCTTCTTGTTTAGCAAGGCAGCGTCTTACTCACTGAGCCACAGTGACTCCCTTATGGATAGATACAAGAATGAATTTAATTATGTAAAGATTTTATACAAATGTTTTAAATTTTGTTTTCAGTTCTGCAACAACTAAAGAAGTTATAGCTGCTTTATTAAAGAAATTTCATATCATAGATCATCCGAGGAAGTTTGCTATGTATGAACAGGAGTTTGATGGACATAAAATAGGTAAAATAAAACTAATTGGGTTTTAATTAACATCCTAGTTTATGGGTTAATTAAGATGGATAAAAGACATTCAGTATGATTTGAGGGAAATGTTGCCTACCCACTTTCTTCAAATTCCAACTATGCAGGATGGAGGGCCTGACAAGGACAGCTGCCTAGTCGTTTGGATGGCACGAAAAACCAAGGTCCCGTGTACACATTGGCGTGCACGTAAAAGATCCCTTGACATTTGGAATTCGATGTAAGAGAAGGACGTAGTGCCGCTGTCCGGGCAAAATTTCCCTAATAGCACACTGTATGGCGTATGCCTGTCTTCATTAGCCCAATTCGGAGCAGAACAGTAGGACGTTAAACCCCATTTCATTTCATTTCATTTCAAATTCCAACTGCCAATGGTTCTTTTAGGAGTGACCCAATGTGTACACAGGACCTTGTTTGTGTTTTTGTTTCCCATCCAAACAACTAGACAGCAGCTGTCCTTGTCAGGGCCTCTGTCCTACACCACTGACAGGGGGAAACCATATTGGAAATTCCCAAGGAACTCTGTTGGCTGTGATACAAACCCTGAAAATAAGAGTTTTAGTTGTTCCTGATCAATTGTCAGTCACTACTGAACTTATATCTCAGTGGTAGCAAATGTCAGTCACTACTGAACTTACATCTCAGTGGTATCAAATGAACATTTTTCTTCATCCTAAACAGGAGGTGTTAAATATGTACCTGACATTGTGTGACAAGCACCCTGTTTCCAGGCTTGGTGATGTAATAAACAGATACAATAGTCCCACAAGTTTTCATTTCAAAAATTAGTTTTGGTCTAAGGGGAGATAACTATTAAATCTTTAGATCATTAAATATTTTTCTCCCCCCCCCCCCCACCTCTCGAAATTCCCCCATCTCCTCCCCCTAGAGAAAACCCCCAAACAAACCCACAGTTGTGTAATAATTTGTTGTTTTCAATTCATCATTTGTTTTATTTTTGATTTCAGTGAAGTTACGTCGAGTTACAGATAAAGAATATCCGTTACATATTTGTTTGAATTGGGATCCCGAACTTTTAAAACGATATCGTCTTGTATTACAAGAAAATGAAACGGGAGAAATTGTGGTAAGAAATTACATTTAAATGTTAAATTTTTAAAAACATTAGTTTCAAAGACTAATAGTAAGTGCAGGAATAAAACCGATAAGACAAACATGCGGACAGGGCAAACTACACAGACACTGCAAGAAATAAACAACAAAGATAAAATCAAGTGAATGGATCTAGGGGCCAGTCGTTAGCGTTCACTGCACTGTACACCTGTAATGATGAAGTCGGAGCAGAACAGTAGGATGTTAAACCCCATTTCATTTCATTTCAAATCGAGTGAATGGATCGGGGATGGGGGGTGGGCAAGTTGTAAACGTTCACTACACTGTACAGTCCCGGGCCTTTAATTCTGCAGGCTTCATGAAGTTTGTTACATGATATGAAATATTACTATACAATACTCATGAGTGTTTTGTGGAGTATATCCTCTTACCACTTGGCACAATTAGGGCCATACACCATGGGGGAAACAAAAGGTTCAAACATGCTCGGAAACTTTCTTGGCAAGCAATAGGATCAAACTTCAGACCTCCTAGTTTGAGATGGGGTTGGTTGGCCGAATTGTTTAAACGTGTGTGTTAGTCATTAAATCTGCCATTGAGTCAAATTGGTCCTCCTGTTTCCTCCCACTGCTAAAGACTCGTGCAAGTGAATTATTGAAATAAAAGTGAACCATATGTTAATCCAGAAATGACCTAGTTTGTGTTGAATGGATGTTAAACCACATTTTCTCTCTCCTGGTCAGTAAGCTGGTGACAAACTCCATAACTCATCGTAAGTCCTAGTTAGTAGAGTATACTAGATAAGTATTAGCTATTACACATACTAGATTTGATCTTTATCTTGCACTCAAATAACATTTTATTACATGTAGCAGAACAGGCCTTGAGTTCACAAAGCATTCTCAGAGTTTCCTCACAATTGTTCGCCTTATGTTAATTAAAATATAGCCCTTTATAAAACTTTTGTTATTTTAATGTATCAAATACATCAATAAGAAACTATGTGCAAAGTTTTATGTTTCTGATCAAAGATATTTCCCATAAACAGTGATTGAAAGTTGAGTAAATTCTTAACTTAAAGTTTGAGAATGCTTTGTTAACGTGGGACCTGACTAGATCTGCTGATGTCATAATAATACTCAAATCATAATAATACTCAAATAATACTCAAATCATAATAATACTCAAATCATAATAATACTCAAATGATGATTCAAATACTATAGTAAAATAATTAATTAATGATTTTAATTATTTTTTCAGTGGGATGGTTTCAGTTTGCCGGAGTTGAATAATTTCCTGATCGTTTTATCACGAGAAGAGAATGAATACATATCCCAGTTACAGTATAAATATAAGATAATGCGGAGAATCATCACTCAGCGTCTTAAAGAAATACGTAAAGAACGTAGACGATTATCGGGTGCTACTTCACCAACAGGAAGTTCAAGTCCTTCCACTCCTAAAAGTAGTTCGGGTGGTTTGACTCCACCGGCTAATAATTCTTGATGTAAAGAGCGTAGTAATATGGTTGTGTTTCGGTGCAAGCTCACAATAATTTTCATACAAATTAATTTATTCCCAACAAGTATTTAATCGCGATGGTATCTGGACAACTCTATGGATGAAGGGGGTAGAAAACCTCACGACTACTGCGAACAGCCATGTTGACTAATAATGAATCTTGTAAAGTCAGAAGGATTGAGAAAACCCCACGAATATAGTGAACAGCCGTTTACGTCAAGATTTATGTCATAACAAAATCAATTAAGACATTTCATTAACGTCATATGGATATAGATCTCTCAGTTCAGCTGGTCCTAGATTATGAAACGAACTTCCACAACAGATCAAGAATCAACAGACTTTTAATCAATTTAAATCCGCACTAAAGACTTTCCTGTTTCGACAGTTTTACCAGTAGAGTCATTACTAAAAGTGTTTTGAGCATGTGTCAACATGGAGAAGATGCTATATAAAACCTCATTATTATTATTAGGCAATTATTTCTCGAATGCTGTGAATTGCCATTTTTCGCTTGATGATATTGTGGATTGGATTTACATATGGAACTTCTTTCTTTTTTGTAAAGAAAGAAATTTTGACAACCCATATAACTCACTTTATTAAGTTAAGAGTTACATAGCTAAAGGAAGACTTTTCTGTTTGGATATTATTTCGACTTGTTGTTACAGTAACCTGGGAATTACCTGGATTATTTCAACCTGTGAATTACCTGGATTAATTCAGTATTACAGATGTAGAACGATTGTTTCATTAACATGGAATATCTTAAACACATCTTAGAAATTGGGCGTGGCTCTGTCCCTGGGGGTCGGGCTTGCACCAAAAATAATAGAGGTCATCCTTAGGTTATAAGGATCTTAAACACCACTCAGAAATCAAATTGTGTTGGTTTGCTTGTGATAAAAAATGAAGGGACAATTATTATATGTTGATGTAAATGAAGAGAGTTTAATGGACGTTTTAGTTCCAGCATCTTCGTAGAAATGTGATGACGAGGAGATTAAGACATTTTATGTGATTTCTTCATAGCTGTGTAGCGATTCTGACATTTTATTTGTTTTCTGAGAATCAACTTTTTTTTTTTTTTCAAGAATCTTCATACATGTAGAGATGTGGTGATGAGGTGATTCAGGTCTTTTTGGGCAATTTCTTAGAATTGACATGTTTTATTTCTAGTGTCGGATATAAGATGAAGAGAGATCCTAGACTATTCCATGTATAAGGTCTCTCCCAATCCCCCCACCCTCTCAACAAGAGGAAAATAAAAGCCGAGAATGTTGAAAATGTTTAAGACTACGGCGCATAACTGTAAGAAATGCTTATGGATCTGGAGACCTAGGTATTTTGTGATTCATGTGAAAGAAAGATGTTTGTCAGCGAGGAATTTCCATTGAAGGATTAAAATGTTGCTGGCGATACGGATGAAGATACAATAATGTTTTACAATAATTGTTACTTAAAAAATAAGCACTAAAATAATTCATTTTAATGAATCATGTGATTTTGTTAAATTTAAGTTTTATTGAGTTTTAAATCTTAAAGCAAATATTTTCAGGAGAGATATTTAACACACTAGTTGATGTTTTATTTTCTCATTATTGTTCATATGGTCTAAAGATAGACCATATAAGCTGTTAACAAAACATCTCTCCATTGGCTGTATTTTAAGTAAATGTTTATAAAGCTACTGTCCATTGGCTGTATTTTAAGTAAATGTTTATAAAACTACCCTCCATTGGCTGTATTTTAAGTACAAGTGAAAGTATAATTGTATTTAGTGATGTATATTGGATGATTTATTAACCAAGATTTGAAGAGAATCAATAAAAACAATGATCTTTCTTATGACATAATATAAAACAGTTTATCCAACTGGACACAGGCTCAATTAATTCTAATTACAGAACATTGCAAAATTTCAACACTTGTGTCCGAACAAATAAGGGGGGTTGGATAGCCAAATGGTTAGCGCTGTATCATACAGCCTGTTATTGATTCATCTGGCATGGTTTCCTGGTTGTACGTGACAAGGAGTAGGGTCGCCAGTCCAGCCTCGTGGGTTTTCTCTGGGTCCTCCGGTATCCTTCCACTGCTAAAGACCCCTATGCGCAAGCGAATTATTGAAATAAAATTAAACCATATGTTAGTCCCAAAATGACCTAGTTTGTGTCGAGTGGAGTGAACCCTAATTTCTCTCTCTCTTTCTCTCTCTCTCCGAACAAATAACCAGTGGAACTTTGTGAGTGGGGTGATCAACACAGTGGGTAGAAAATGATACATTATATGGTTAGGGTTGAGTGGTTGTCTTAAACGCCATCAAATTCCATCTGTGTTAACATTTTCTTCTTCTGTCAGCTCGAGTCAATCTATCTGCTGCTTATTCGTTAAGACCCAAGTGTTAAAACTGTGCGACAGGGGCCTAAATGGATTTATTAATGAACATATAAATATTTATTTTACATGGACCATTTTAAAGACGTGATAACCTGGTCTACATAATACTGTTTCCTAGCCTTGATTAACATAACTGAAATGATTTAAGAAAGTATAATTTAGATAAGTTTATCCAGTATTGAAGTATTTGTATAATAAATGCATGTAATATAGACAGACTATTTTTGTGAAATGACAAACGGCTAATGATTTAGTTACCAAGATATCTGACAATATATCTAGCTACTAAATTTAAGTGAGTTTTGGTGTTTCACAAAATTGTCTTTGATAATCTTTCTGGTAGAAATACAGAGTTGTTTGTAACGATCCCGATCGCAGGTGACACAAAGATATTAAACGGGGAGAGTCCTGGAGGGCTGAAGTCATCCAGACGTGATCTAACGATCAGATGTACATGTATTTACGGGGCCATAATCAATGCTTATTCACATGACCTTGGCATGTTTAAGCATGGGTTGAAAACCACGACATTGCACTGAATATCAGACGTTACGATATATCGGTCATCACAAACACTCTGTATTATACTAGGAAGAGATATATTGTGCCTTGGTCATATTCTCGGGTAATTTGTAAATAATACTACTAGTAAAAAAACAATCAAACCCCTTTTAAATAATTGGTTTAATCCTAGCTCACCACCTGCTGTACGTGTCCAAAACATGCACGACTTGTAGGGCTTGGTAGCTCGCAGACCAGCCGCAAGAAACTGGGTGACAATTTTGTTATGGGTAGGACCAAAAGTCTCTATGGCCAGTCTGCGATCTTCTACGGTGACGAACATATGCAAGTCTCAAACACGGGTTTACTAAAATTTCCCCTGTACTAGCATGTACAGCGTGGCTTAAACCGTGAAAAATTGGTTTTTGTTTAAAAAATGACAGAGTGTTTAAACAGACCCTGATGAAAAATTCAAATCATGTTGTAGTATGGTGACGCAATATGATTAAAACACAGATCATGTTTTGTTTCGTTTTTTATAGTTCAAAATTTCGTTTTTTTGTCTTTATTACACTAGGATCTGGAAGAGTTGTTATATAACCCACGTTCTGGTTGATGTGAGGGATTAGCCAATGAAACAGTTCGTTGCAGCGAGTTCTGGGCTTGCGATTCATGGAATGGTTGGTATCCCACTAGAAGCATCTACGCTGATTGATTAATCAAATGTCTGACGTCATAGGGTCAAAAGCCTCTGACGCGACCTTTTATTATAACTTGTCAGATCTTCATGTAGTGGAGGCCATCGAAAGTATAAAAAAACGAAACGGAATATAGATCTTTTTGTACATTAAAACTAGACACACATCAGTTTATCTGTAGTATTGGTAATTATATGTAGTTTTATTGGTCAAGAGAGAGATATAATTGGGTAATATATTGACGACATTAAGCAGAGTGTTGTTTCAATATATTACGTAATGTCTTGCTTGAGACCATTAAACAATTTAAACTGCAGATACACTTTGAATGATATTGTCACACGAGTGAATGTTTCATATAATACTGTACAATTGATACGCCAACATCCAAAGATGACGTCACATTTGTACTAGATATTTTATACGAGGCATTAAGGGATTTTTAGTAAGTTTGACACAAAATGTAGGGACAAGACGATTATCTGTAAATAAAGACTGATGGGAGTAAATATGGAGTTGTCTCCCTTTCTATGTGATACACTGTACCTATTACACATACAAAGATAAATAACTAATATGGAGTTGTCTCCCTTTCTATGTGATATACTGTACCTATTGCACATACAAAGATAAATAAATAATTAATATTAGTTAATTAATCATGTAAATATATTGACTCTAGTATTTATCAACATATTTTAAAATAAAACAAAAAAATGTTTCTGGAATTGATATTAAAATGCTTCCTCTTCGGATGTACATGTATATCGAATTCAGTGGACAGTAACACTATTTTAAGGAATGGAGATTGACGTATTTCCATCAGAGATTGACGTCACATCTGTATTTTAAATTCCAACTCAATCATATATGCTAGTCTTGACAGCTTGTCTTGAAAATTAGTCATGCATATTATTCCTACGATAATTATTACATGTACTTGATAGTCTTTCCGTAGTCTTGCTTAAAAATAAGTCTTTCATATTTTTTCAGAAACTTAGTGTGAATAGTTCTTTATAAAATAAATAAATAATTTACATTTGTATAGTTTATTTTCTCTACAGCATAATCTTCTCTTAGGGGATGTCGCAAAATGTCAACACTTGCGTCCAAACTCCAAACTCCAAACACCTCGGAACTGGGTGGGTGGCTTAAACTACGCCGTGGGTAGAAAATTAAAAATATCAGATATTTGATATGTTGACATTTTTCTTATTCTGACGTCGTGGATGAGCAGGGAAATGGATCAAGGGTTATTTGTTTGGACGCAAGTGTTCGACAGTGATTTAATAAAGATGGTCGATTGGTTCATTTGTAGATTTAATTAGAATATCAATGGCTAGTTTTATTTAATACAAGCATGTTTCCCAGGAAACCTGTGTCTGCGATATCACCCTAGATGAAAGTGGATGTAAAGCCCCATTCACTGACTGACTAAAATACTCTGTGTCCCGTTAATAATAAATAATGATGATAATATGTATATTGAAACCATGCACTGTTCCATACTAGTACGAATGCTCATGGCAATTTACATGTATATAAACTCATAGTTACACTTAATATTTCGAAATGTATATTTAAAAAATACAAAAATTAATATTAACTCTGACCATCACAAATGTATGTACATTTTTTCAAAATCAGTACAATTGTACGACGACTTGAATATTAGAAATAACCAGACTGTACATTATTTTATATTTAATTATTATTGTTATAGTTTGATTCGTTGCTGACATTTTAAACATAGTCTTAGTTTAAAATCTTGTTCATTATGGGTTTAATTCACAATTAAAATATTTTAAGGATAAAGGTATTTGATTGGATGAGAGTTAATATCCGAGTACAAATTTTTAGTTATTGGCCAATGAAAAGGCTGAATTCTTAGAATAAGTTTTTGTGAATAAAGCCCCATGAATCGCACAAAACAAATATGTGTTTAAGCATGATTTTAAACTGAGATTATTGTTGAATACTCAACAAGAAATTGAATATTAAGGATCGTGTGAGTGTGAGATACCTGTCTCTATCGTAAAATATCTATTGATTTTATTCCTATATGTAAATAGTTTAATGGAAGGGAAGTAACTCTTCTACCTTTTCAATGTAAGGGAGTTAACTCTTCCCTTTTCCATCTTTATGTTGATAATATCTATGACTTTGTATGGAAATATTAGATGGGGCTAAAAAATAGTATTTATATAAAAATAAACAAAATCATTTTCATCTATTCTTTAACCATGCTTGATTATAACACGACCACGGCCATCAGGCCATGTCAGCAATACAAAGGTTTTTCCGATTCTTTTGATGGGAGCCACGGTGGTTCAGTAAGTAAGTCGTTGGCGCACTAACCTGGAGGTCCCGTGTTCGATCCTTGCTGGAAAGTTTGTAAAGATTTTCTAACATTGTTCCCCCTTGTCAGTTGGTGTAGGACGTATTGTCGTTTGGATGAGATGGAATATCTCTTTTCTATTATGCACCCATCTGACTTGAGGAATAACCTTTGTATTTCTGTAGTAACCGTTAATTATGATTTAGAAAAAAATGCCAAAAAAAATAAAATGTCTGTTAATATTAAATCATTTGTTGATAAAATCATAGTTGAATTTTGGATTGAGTTGAATCATAAGTAAATGCATTATTCAAATCCATCCATGTATATTCATAATTTCATGTGAAAATTGTTAAAATTCATATAAAAAGAAATAAAAAAAAAAACACAATGTATAAAATTTTTTTGTTTTCTTGTATCCATGATTAGTATAGAGTGCAGCAGTTGTTTTTTACCACATGTCTCTAGGTCCTGGGCAGGGTGGAAGGCCAAATGGTTAGCACGTTCGCGCTGTATCATAAGGCCTGTCATTCAGTCAACTGGCAGGGTTTCGGTTCTCCGGTTGTACGTGACAAGGAGTAGGGTCGCCTGTCCAACTTCGTGGGTTTTCTCCGGGTCCTCCGGTTTCCTCCCACTGCTAAAGACCTCTACACGTAAGCAAATTATTGAAATAAAATTGAACCTTGTGTTAGTCCCGAAATGACCTAGTTTGTGTCGAGTGGAGGTTAAATCCCATCTCTCTCTCTCTCTCTCTCTCTCTCTCTCTCTCTCTCTCTCTCTCTGTCTTCAGGTGCATCCTTCCATCCTGGCAGTACCAATCTGATTAAAATATAGATCTATATTTCGTTTTGTTTTTCTCATACTTTCGATGGCCATTGTACTGGAAGATCGTGTCAGGGGTCGTACAAGTGGCTTTTGACCCTATGACGTCAGACCTTGATTAATCAATCGGCATTGACGTTTCTAGGGATTTACCCACAGTTCCGTGCATTGCACGCCAAGAAGTCACCGTAACAGACCGTTTCATTGGCTAATCCCTCACTTCAACCAGAATGCGGGTTATATAACAACTCTTCCAGATCCTAGTGTAGTAAAGCCAAGTAAAACAAACTTTTAAACTATAAAAATGAAACATAATAGGATTTGTGTTTTAAGCAGATTGGGCAGTATCTAGTTTGGTTGTCTGAAATCTAAGTCCAACCTGGCTAACGAGTAATGCGATGGACCATTAACTAAGTGGGCTTGGGTGCAATTCCGGGGTTGGTCGAGAAAATTTCTCGTGATTTTTCTGTATGGGTTCCCATGTCAGTTGTACGGGACGGGAGGGCCTGACAAGGAATTGATGTCCCGGGTCCACACTAAGTCCAATCTGGTGCTGGTTTACTAAGTAGTGGATCCCGGGTTGCAATCCTGTTGTTGGTCTAGAAAGATTCTCACTATTTTTCAGCACTGTTTGTCTTTTCGGAGGTGCAGGACGAATTGATTGCCAGGAAAAATTGATTGACAGGACGGATTGATTGACAGGATGGATTGACTCGCAATGAAAAGCACCCAGTTGTTTGAATGGTACAACTGAATACTTGATTGACATCTCTTTAAAGATCCCTTGACAATTAAAGATGGAAATATATGTAAACCATTGCGCAGCTGTTGGGCCAAAATATCTCTCATAGCACACAACTTGGCATATTCTTACGAATTTAAAGACCTAATCATTTGGCCTTAAAAAAAAAAATAATGTCATCCCAAAAACATTGGAAAACAGAAAGCTTGGTTGAAGAATAAAGTTTTGAAATAAACTATTGATAATTCAAAATAATTTTTTAATAAAAATGTTCCTGAAGCCAAGAATATCCTGCATAATACCAGTAAAACTAGCAAACATGTTAAATTGAACATTTTGGGTGTTTTTAGAGTGTATCATACCTGGCTGGCATGAAGTTTATATAAAGAACCGGTGCCAATATATTGCTGGCATTTATCCCATGGTACAATATAAGATATCAGATGGTAATCTGTAGCCTTATCCAGACAGTAATTGGTTTTCTTTAAAAACTCTTGTGATAAAACCTGTTTATACACGTGATGCTGTAACTGTTTATCAGATATATCGTTGTAATTCTTCTTTTAAACAAACTTACCACCAATAATAGACAACGTGTTTTAATTAGTAAATTTCCAGGACAACTGAATCTTGCTACTATATATCTATATTATTCAAGGACCTTGTTATAAACGCCTTACCACGAATACTATTGATATATTAAATTGTGTCACAGAACCGTCTTATTAACCACAGGAGGATGAAGAAGACCACTGATATTCTTTATCCAAGTTTTTTAGTCTGCCTAATATGTAAGTAAAACATTAACTTCACCCCAGTTAATTAGTCTTAGTAGAGTATCACCTCCTTTGATCTTGTTGTTGTCCTGTGTGGTTTCAGGAATTGTTGTTATAGTTTTCTGTATAAATTAGCTTCATAATTTTTGTATTAATTCAAAACGTTGCCCAAATAAATAAGTAGCTGTTTTTCCGTTAAGTACATGTTATAGTTCATTGCTCTATTCAGTTAGTAAATGCCTCTCAAAGATTAAAACATTATTGACATGACTACGTTAGATGAACTGAAAAAAAGACAAAAATTCTCCAAATTTTATCTGCAAGGCCGAAGAGTGATTTTCATTTTAGGGGAGCCAATTCTGCCTAGTCAAGCGGTACAAAAACGCTCCGGCTTGTTAATAGGAGAGTATGTTAATTTATTTTATTTTTTTTCAAAGCTAATGATTTGACAATCCCATATCTTACAAAATAAACATTTATATCTCATACATTATTTACTTGATCTCTATACATCCGTATTATGGGTGGTGGTGGGGGTATAGCTGAATGGTTGGCACGAGCGCGCTGTATCATAAGATCTGTTATTGAGTCAAATGGCGCGGTTTCGATTCCCCGCGGTTGTACGTGACAAGGAGTAGGGGACGCAGAAACTCAAAAACATGACGCACAGCGCGTCTTTGCGCCCTTCTCACTTATAGCCCCGGAGTGTTATTCTATCTATTGAAACATATATACAAGCCAAGGATTCAAATACTTATAGAATAATATTTGATAAGAAATATAAATTGTACATAATTAATAGAGAAGATAAGAATGCGTGCTAATTATAATATATGTTGTTACGTGAACCCATAGACTAGATAGATTAGTCACATTACAATTCGAACAATTGGTAGTTTAATAAATATTGAGTCACGATTAAAATCTCTATAACACACGGTGTAACTATTGCTCAACTTTAACAAATATTGAATAACGATTAAAATATCTAGAAATACACAGTGTAACTAATTAATGATACACTATTTTAAACATAACCAGGCAGACCCGTATTTAAAATCATTACCCACCTACTGGGTCTCTAAATCAGTTGGGGGGGGGGGGCGGGATGGCCAAATGGCTAGGGCGTGCGCGCTGTATCATAAGGTATGTCATTAAGTCAACTGGCGCGATTTCGATTCCCCGGTTGTACGTGACAAGGAGTAGGGTCGCCTGTCCAACCTCGTGGGTTTTCTTCGGGTCCCCCGGTTTCCTCCCACTGCTAAAGACCCCTACGCGCAAGCGAATTATTGAAATAAAATTGAACCACGTGTTAGTCCAGAAATGACCTAGTTTGTGTGTCGAGTGGACGTTAAACCTCTCGCTCTGTCTCTCTCTCTCTCTCTCTCTCGTCAAATCAGTTCTGAACTTTAAAAAAAAAATGATCTGATCATTAATTTATTTATATCGTAATTCATCTAATTTATACTCGTTTTGTATAATTACTTTATAAATAGAGTTTTATCCACATTATTCCACTGAATAACTTTTCGGGAGGAATGGCTACAAGACATGGGTGTATTTTGGGTTTGATCATTTCATGTTATCAAAGTGATTAAACTGAGTGTTTTCTTCTTCTGGTTATTTTCATTTGTCAAGATTCACGTTTCTTCTTGATTATAAAACAAACCAAAACAGATATTGTTAGCTTTTTGGACTTCTCGGACGAATGAGAACTGGTATCCCGCTTCGGTGCCCATAATATTGTTTTTAACATACACGCCCACACCAACTCTTAATTCTACGTTTAATAGTTCCTTTTTGAACGGTCTCTGACCGGACACTGTCCGCCGACTGTTCCTATCCGTCTCTTTATAGCTGCAATATGAAAATATTGTAAAATAACGCTCTTCCCTACCTGTTCTAAAGCTATTTAAGAATCCTTAGCTTCTATTGTTCACCGTGATTCTTTTTTTTTCTCCAAATAGTCAGAGGCCGTTCCTAAAGGAAATACTTTTAAAACCAGGCCCGTAAATGGTGGCGGGGGGGGGGGGGGCTGCAAAAAAATTTCGCCCCGCCTGTGAAAAAATTGTCGACCATAAAAACAATAGATATACATTTTCCGTCAATTTTATAGCAACCCCTGAGAACACTTCCCGCCGCCCTCGTTGCTCTGAACTAGTTACGGTCCCGTTTAAGACATTATCAAATGTCCCCAACTTCTACCAGCCAGGTATCCCACTTCCAATACTTTATGCTCTTCTCCAAAGAATGAAAAATCACAAGTGATGGAACATTAGTTTGGTGTGAAATTTTTACCCCAACTCATCATCGGATTTCAACAGTCTATAGGGCTTCGTCAATCTGATTAAAACACAGATCCTATTTCGTTTCGTTTTTTATAGTTCAAAATTTCGTTTTACTAGTCTTAAATACACTAGGTTAGGTCTATTTGATAAGGCCAACTTAAGTTTGGTCAAAGGTCACAAGATGTAAACAGGGCTAGCGCTAATCCCAACCCTAACCCTAACCCTAACCGTGGGTCTAACCCTAATGCTTAACCTAACCTACAAATCACGTGTCCTGGTTTTATTTACATCTCAGCGACCTTGGCGAAAATTGAGCTGGCATTAACAAATAGATTTAGCCACTACACTAGGATGTGAGGGGTTAGCCAATGAAACGGTCTGTTGCAGTCAGTTCTTGGCGTGCGATGCACGGAACTGTGGGTATCCATCCCACTAGAAACATCAACGTTGGTTGGTTAATCAAATGTCTGACGTCATAGGGTCAAAAGCCGCTCGTATGAACCCCCCCCCCCCCAATACAACTGGTCAGATCTTAATACATTAGAGGCCACCGAAAGAATATATATAAAAAAAGAAATGGAAAAATGGGTCTGTATTTCTATCAGATTGGGGTTTCGTTTACGTACACTCCGAGGTGTGCACGGGACTTCGGTATTATTCGTTCTTGCTCGCCAGTTTGGTAAGAGATCCATCTCCTTACTCATTGAGTCACGTTGATTACAGAGAACAATACTAGATACTGGTAGAATGGATTGGGAATGAAATGAAATGGATTTTAACATCCAACTGTTCTGCTTCAACTAGGCTAATGAAGATGGGAAATTTTGCCCAGGCAGCGGCACTATGACCTACTCTTATACCAAATTCCAACTGTCAAGGGATATTTTACAGGCATGCCAATCTATACATGGGACCTTGGTAATTCGTTCCATCCGAACGACTAGACAGCTGTCCTTGTCGGGCTCTCCGCCCTGCAACACGTCGAAAAATCCCGATTAACTTTCTCGGCCAACGCAGGGATCGAACACGTGACCTCCAGGCTAGCGAGCAAGCGTCTTACCCACTTAGCCAGAGAGAGAGAGAGAGAGAGAGAGAGAGGGGGGGGGGGGGTAACCTCCACTCGGCAAAAACTAGGCCATATTGGGACTAACATATGGTTCAATTTTATTCAATAATTCGCCTGCGCGTAGGGGTCTTTAGCAGTGGGAGGAAACCGGAGGAATCAGAGAAAACCCACGAGGTTGGACAGGCGACCCTACTCCTTGTCTTGTAAAACCGGGGAATATAAACCACGCCAGTTGACTCAATGACGCGCTAATTTTATTCGGCCACTCCTCTTATAATATAACACTCTAATACATATATCAAATATAACACAAACTCTAATACATATATGCAGGACGGAGGGCCTGGCAAGGACAGCTGTCTAGTCCTTCGGATGAGACGAAAAACCGAGGGCCCGTGTATACATTGGAATGCACGTAAAAGATCCCTTGGCAGTTGGAATTCGATATAAGAGTAGGCGATAGTGCCGCTGCCCGGGCAAAATTTCCCTCATAGCACACTGTATGGCGTATGCCCGTCTTCATTAGCCCAGCATAGGAGCAGAACAATAGGACGTTAAACCCCATTTCATTTCATTTCATTTCTAATACATTATCACAGACCACATGGAATAATCTATAATATGATATAACCTTCTACCATGTAAAATCTCAAGGGATTCTGGCATATTTACATCTTTCTTAGTCTGGATTTCTGCCACAATTGTATCGTACAACTTGATGTGTGGTAAGTGTTTTTGTTGGCAACATGTGGATATTTTATTTTATTTTAAAGATACCCAATCAACACCACTCTGATTAAATCACAGACATACTAGTTTAGTTTGTGTTATTTATTTTATTTTTCAGATATTTAAATAAAATAATAAAATAAATAAATAAATGAATGAATGAATGAATGAATGAATGAATGAATGAATGAATGAATGAATGAATAAATAAATAAATTTGTATTTTAATTAGACTGAATGTAATTATCGACTTGAAAGAAATATGGTGGTACCCATAGTGTAACACTATCTTAGTGATAACAGAGATCAGTTTAGTAAATATAGGATTTATTTACATCGGAACAGAATATCAAACAGTTACGCAGATACAACATGAACTAAACTACACCGGGAACTATAGATACACCAGGAACACAGCGGCTGAACTAGGGTGAGTCCATGCACTCGTCCAAGCCTTTCTTCTCCTCCCCGTTCGTCTCTGGTCTCGTATCTGCGTCTCTCTTCCTCTCTCTAGAACTCTGTCTAGCTGTCAGTAAACTCTTGGTTTATGACGTCATGGTATGCTTTCTGACCAGTGTGTTTACCTTTGAAGTCATGCGGAGCTTGTACACAGATCATATGTAGTTTGTAAATGACATATGGGATTAATTACATGTTTAATTAGAACGTGACTAAACAGAAGTATATACAGAGTTGAAAAGTCAACATCATCTATTATCAAAAGCAGCTTAAGTCAATAAGTTCTATGCACCTGAATGATCGTTCAATTTGATGAGTACTTTGTTACAGTAGGGATATTAGTTACTTGTTGAAAAATGTCTCCTCTGAATTGCCGAAAAGATATTATCCACAAGGATTCTAACAATCTCACAATGGTATCTTCGATGATTTGTTTGAATTGGTATTAATGTCAATGAGTTGTACAGCACAAA